AAACCCCTAAACCCCTATAGGCCCTAGAACCCGAAACCCAAACTGTCAGAACCAGCAGGCCTTCAGTTGCTCTCTTAGCGGCTCATGGTCCAGGCTGCAGGATTTAAGTTCTTGGGCCAGGATCGCAAGGCTAAGTTTAGGGCCCCAAAAAGAGCACATAAGCAAAGAATAGGATAGGGATATCCCATATAAATCCCCTTATACTGAAGCCCAATACGGTAGGGATATCCCTATAAAATGCTTATGCATATGTGCTTTTTGGGTCCCTAAAAGTTCAGGAGGTTTTGGCGTGTTTTAGCATGAGGACTACGGCGGCGTTTTTTGGGAATTTGGGCATTGAAGAACAACAATAGGCATGTCTACCATCCACTGGCTTGTCGTCACGACAGACGCCAATGTCTGTATTTGCACATGCTCCTTCTAGGGAGGGCGCTAAACCCTAAACCCTAAACCCTAAACCCTAAACCCAACAACACTGATTCTCATTCCTATTGCCGGGCAGCTCAAGCACGCCAATAATGCTCGTCATCACCACGCCAACCAAGAGAACGCCTACAGGAGCGGCATACTTGATGTCGTAACCTTCCTGGCTGGCATTTGGGAGCTTCCGAAAAGAAGGGGTACCTGATTTTGGGGTCCTCATAATAGGGATCCTATTATTTGGAGTACTACATTAGGGTCCCCCATTTTCGGAAACCCCATTTACATCGGATTAAGCGGTTGGGGTTGTTCTGCTTCAGGTCCAGCTGTTTAGGGTTTAGGGTTTAGGGTTTAGGTTTACTGTAAGCATGTTCGTCGAGGTTTAGGGTTCAGCAAGGCAAAGCCATCAGAATCTCAGGCCCTACACCCAGGAATTCTACACCCTAAACGGCCCTGTGGCACATTAGGGTTTAGGGACTAGACCGGAGGAAGCCCCTATGTATATCGATATGTATGTGTGTATATATATATATATATGTACACGGATCCTGCACTGTATTGTGGCCTCAACAGGCCTGCCATACACGCAACCTACTTAGTTGATGTTGGCTTTGTACGTCCTGCTCTCTGAATTTCGCGTTTCATTAGGAAATACTACACCGAAAACCCAAAGCAATAAACCCTCACAGAAAGCCACTGCCCTGCCACGGCAACTCTCGCAATCGTTGCCGGCGTTAGGTTGTAGAGAGATCACCACTTCAAAAACCCACGTAAGCCCTGGATGTCACGGTCGAGGCTTACAAGCTGTAAGGGCTCTAAAACATGGCTGCACAAGGGTTCTTCTCAGGAACCTCGTGAAGCGAGCTACAGCTTCGAACACGGGACAACGATCGCCCTACACTCAAACAATGCCTTAACAGCAACAAAAGCCTAGTAGCCTGAACCCTATGGACCGTGCTCCCCCAAACCCGATGCTAGCAACCTGCACCCAGACCTGCAAATCCCGCCCCTTTCCCCGTCCCGGTTCCCTTAACCCTAACCCTTAGCCATAAACCTTAAACCCTAACCCTAAACCCTAAACCCTACTAAACCCTAAACTCTAATCCCTAACCCTAAGCCATACACCCTGTTCAGGAAACCACGTCCTGAACAATCCACTGGGCATTGACGACGGTGTCGCCCCAGCATTTTCTGGAGCAGGCTCGCGGGGGTTACTTTCGGGGTTCCACAAGAGTCACTGTTAGGCTTTAGGGCTTAGGGGTTTGGGTTTATGTTTAGGGTTTAGGGTTTAGAGTCACGTTTGGGTTTCTTGAAGGCTTTAGTTGTTCTCTGGGGCTTACTGTTGGGGCTACTATCGGGGCCTTAGTAACTAGAATAAGACTTGGGGCTAGTCTAGTCAGTATAGGTAGATAGGGCCATAAGGGAATACGAGTATAGATTGCAGATTGTTCAGACCTCTATATTGGAAATTTTAGGATTTAGGATTGGATCCGGGGATCGAAATGGAAGCCACTCGTTAAGAGAAGCAGCGCGAATATACTGGACCTCAATATCAACACAGGGCCCAAACAGGTAGAGCGGCAGCTCAGGGTCACGTTGCGCCCTGATATGTGAAACTGCATAGGAATAGCCGCGGTAATGTCAATGTCCGTTTCCCAAACATCTTTTTCTTGCCTTCCTTTGGGGCCCCAGAGCCTGTTGGTTATGGACAGCAGGCAATGTTTAGGAGCCCTCCTTCAGCCAGAATCTTGCAGGAACGGTTGCAAGCCAAACCCTAAACCCTAAACGGGCTAAGGTTGTAGAGCACTGCAGTGAGACTCAAATCACGAAAGGACGAAACTGAACTAACGCATCCACGAACCGTTGATTTTGGTAGCCTAAACCTCAAGTAGTGCTTCGAACAGGGTCCAGTTTGGGTTTGAGTTTAACCCTGAACCCTAAACCCTAAACCCTAAGCCCTTTAAACCCTAAACCCTAAACCCTAAACCCTAAACCCCGAGCCCTTTAAACCCTCGAGCCTCTAGTGAAGGACGCCCCTCTTCGCCAACGCCTAAATGAGTTTAGGGTTTAGGGTTTAATGATAGTTCAACCTGACACCGCGTAGAAATCCAAACCCGTCCCTAAAACCCCAAACCTTAAGTCCTCACGAAAACCCCTCAAAAACCCCCAACAACAAAAATCCTAAACCTAAACCCCAAACCCAACATCCCGAACCGCAAAAAAAAAAATGCTCCCGCGGCCAGGCGTCAGCCACGACCACACGAAGAGGGCCAGGCCCGCAACTTGGAGAATGGTTTAGAGTAGAGGTTAAGACTTAGATATACGGTTTAGGGCCTTGGGTGTAGGGTTTGCTGTCATGCATTGCGCCACTAAAAGTTATGCACACGTAGAACCTGTATGCATAGTCAGTCATACATACTTTATGCTGCTGTCGTGGGCACCACCCAAGAGACTCTACCCTAAACCCTAAAATCCTAAACCTTAATCCCTAAACGCCCACTCCAAAACAAAGCAGACCAAAGAATCCAAGACCCTAAACCCTAAACTCCTAAAACCTAAGGGTTTAGGGTTTAGGGTTTAGGGTGTCGGGTGTCGGGTGTAGGGTTTAGGATGTAGGGTTTAGGGTTTAGGGTTTAGGGTTTAGGGTTTACGTCCTACAACAGACCAAGGAGTCCAAGAGGCCCTGCTGGGCCATTTGAAACATCGAGGCCTTCGCAGCTGACTCGACTTTTGCATCAGTGCCCTTGGGCGCGCCTCGCGGGAGCACCAACCGAACCCTCGTTAGGGTTTAGGGTTTAGTGTTAGGGCGGTCTAGGGTTTAGGGTTTAGGGTTTAGGGTTTAGGGTTTAGGGTTTAGTGTTAGGGCCCAGAAAGCGTTGCTACATGTTTGGGGAATCGGTACGCATAAAAACACATGAATGTATGCGCACGCACGTACATACGTGCAGCGTGCAGACGCACATCGAACACATGGACCTACTGACGTGCTTACATACTCTTGAATACTTAAATACTTACGTACGGACATGCGTACATGCATGCATGCATGCATGCGTGTATGCGAACCTACCTACATGTGCAACATATAACAGTTCTGGAATCATGGTATGGCAATTACTAAGAGCTACGACTCTACTTACTACGGGAAGCACCTGATATGTTACTACAGTTTGACAGCTCTGGACCTCCTGTAGGTTGGTTAGAGCGCATGTCAGGTTAGTGCAGACCATACATCATGCCATTTTCATTGCACAACATCATGTTCGACACTGGTGTGCCTTCGTTTGCTCTAACGAACTTACAGCGTGACCAGATTCGGCTACCTTCTCTTGTGTATAAAAAGTACGGACCACATTCTTGTCTGTGAGCCTGCACCTGCAGCTGCTGCTGGCGGGGCAGCTGTGCGAACAGTGGCAGGGGCTGTCGGTGCAGTCGCTGCCGTCGGTGTGGTGGCTGCTGTCACGGGCGCGGTGGCCGCAGGCGTCGGTGCGGAACCAGCCGTCGGCGTGGGGGGTGCTGGCCTACTCCACGAATTGGAAACTGGGGGCTTGGGGCTTCTTCGGAAGGTTAGGTTTCGGAGCGTTGAGCTTTGGGGTCCTACAGGCGCTTACAGGCCTCATAGGATTGGGGTTTGGGATCTCCGGGCCCCAGAGGTGGAGCAAGAGGGTGATGTCGGTCATATTTGTGGCGCTGAAATCCTACAACCTAAACCTCCAAGCCCTACGCTTCCTGAACCCTAAACCCTGAGCCCTAGACCCTAAAGCCTAGACCCTTACAGCCTACACTAAACCCCCAGCCCTACATAACAACTAATGTAACCACGAAAGCCCCTTAAACCCAAACCCTAGAATCCGATGTAAACCCTAAACCCCCTAGGACCTGCAAAAGAACCCCTAAATCCCTGCAAAAAAAAAAGAAACCCTAAACCCCAAAACCCTTCAGAAACCTTGTAGGAGCCCTTGTAGCACCGTACCCTTCAAGGAACCCTTAAAGGAAATCAGAACCCTAGATCCCGAAAATCTGCTGACGGGGATCGCAACGTGCCACGATGATCACAACTTGAATAATATAGGGGCCTTAATAATTATAGGGTTTAGGGGGTATATTATAGAATGATTATAAGAAGGAACCCCCAAAATAGTATTAGTAATTATTGAGGCCCCTAGATTATGCTACAATATACCCCACCCCGCCACATTTGAAGGCCCCTAGACTTACTTGTCCAGCAACGTGGTTGAAGTGAAGGTTAGCATTGGGAATTACATACAACATAGGGATCATAGTACCCCAGAAAAGGTTACGGGTGACCTACGCTACCACTAAGTAGAGGGGTAATTCTCTAAATTAGGGCCCCCTTTTAAATCCCAAATATAGCACGGCACCCTTGTAAAAAGGGCCCTAAACAAGTACCTCAATTTAGAGAACTACCCATACAACCCCTAAGCCCCAAAAACCCAACCCTAAGCACCCTTAACACCCTAAACACCCTAAGCCCTAAACCCTAAAACCCTAAACACCCTAAGCCCTAAACCCTAAAACCCCAAAAACCCTAAACACCCTAAACACCCTAAGCCCTAAACACCCTAAACACCCTAAACACCCTAAACACCCTAAACACCCTAAACACCCTAAACACCCTAAGCACCCTAAGCCCTAAACCCTAAACACCCTAAGCCCTAAACCCTCAGAGTCCCAGCATCTTCGCCGTCGGGTTCAACGATGGCTCGCGAGGCAAAGCGGACGTCGGGCTGGCACCTCTCTGGCCAAAGGGTTGTGGCCGATTTGTTTTTTCAAGTTTAGGGTTTAGGATTTAGGGTCTAGGGCTTAGCGTTTAGGGTTTAGGATTTAGGGCTTAGGATTTAGGGCTTAGGGTTTAGGTTTATTTAGGGTTTAGGGTTTAGGATTCAGGGTTTAGGATTTAGGTTTATTCAGGGCTTAAATTTCAGGTTTAGGGTTTAGGATTTAGGGTCTAGGATTTGGGCTTAGGGTTTAGATGTTTTGGGCAACCCTAAACCCTAAACCCTAAACCCTAAAACCTAAACCTTTTCAAGGCACTTAGGGTTTTGGAGTTTCGGGATGCTGCGAGCTAGTCGGCTTTCGGGTGCAGAGAGCTTCAAAGAGGGGTCTAGGGTTTAGGGTTTAGGGTTTAGGGTTTAAATGTAGGGGCCTAAATAATTACCAATACTATTTTTGGGGGCTCATTATTACAGTTAGTGTATAATGGGCCCCAAAACCCGATTCAAATTATTAAGGTCCCTATACTAGCGAGTTGAGCTCATGGTTCCGATTTTAGGATGGCCCAACACCTGCTTGGATACCTTCTGTCCTTCGAAGCTTCAGCGATTCGCAAGGCCTTGGGGTCTTGCTTAGGTCTGGAAAGGCATGTGAGACAGCCCAAACCCTCCCAAAACCTTACTTCCGACACCCTAAAACCCTCAACTCTCCACCGACGAACCTGAAACCTCGCAGATGTGAACGAAAACCAGACCGCCCAAAGGATCCTTTCCCCCCACACCCTAAACCCTGAGCTCGAAAAGCAACCTCTCAAGCCCAAAGCCCGAATTTTAAGCCCTTCGAATCCCCTAGAACAACCTTGTTGCAAAATTCCGCTGAACACGATCGTTTTAAGCATCGACACAACTCCACGTCACCCTAAGCCAAGAATCGGGCACCTTTCGACTTTTTGTAGACCACTTGCAGCCCCTGCACCCGAAACCGCAAGCTATCCTACACCTAAACCCTTCACCACTTCCTACAGCCTCGAACCTGGGCCGGCAATCCTAGGCCCCTGCAGCCTAAGCCCTATAAATCCCTATCGTAGAAACCCTCTAACCTTAGACCCTAAGCCCTGAACTTAACCCCTTAAGGGAATCCTTAAAGGCCCTAACCCGAGACCCTGAGCCCTACACCTACACCCCTTCAAGGGATCCTCAAAGGCCCCCTAACCCTAGACCCGAAGCCCTGAACGTAACCCCTTAAAGGAGTCTTCAAGTCAAAGGTCCCCGAACCCCAGACCCTAAGCACTAAACCCCTTTAAGGAATCCTGTAAGGCCCCTAAACCCTAAACCC